GGGAGCAGGAAGTGTTCTCCATGTCTTTGGTCCTGAACGACATTGGAAGTTAGCTCACTTTTCTATCAATCTTGCTCCTGGTCTAGCTATGAGTCTCCTTTCATGAACGATGTAGAGCTTTATTTATAGTGTTCTCCAAGTTTTTGGTCCTGAACGACATTGGAAGTTAGCTCACTTTTCTCTCAATCTTGCTCCTGGTCCAGCTATGAGTCTCCTTTCATGAACGATGTAGAGCTTTATTTATAGTTTATGAGAGGTGTTCTCCAAGTTTTTGGTCCTGAACGACATTGGAAGTTAGCTCACTTTTCTCTCAATCTTGCTCCTGGTCCAGCTATGAGTCTCCTTTCATGAACGATGTAGAGCTTTATTTATAGTTTATGAGAGGTCTCCCTGTAAATAAGAAAGAAATCTGAACCACTCCATCAGACGACCCAGAGATGTTCCTTCGCTCGGATGACATTTTGTGGACATTTGTGTGCTTTAACGATGTTAGAATTGAGTGATCTTAGGTTCGTTAGATTTAATAAATCGAGACACTCGAATTGATTATTATAAGCTTGTCAGATTTGTAATTCATTTGACCGTTCAATTGGGCGCCAAAAACCTTCAAAGTGGTTTAATGGCTTGATCCAAGTTTAATTTGACTTAGATTTGACTTTGGTGCTATTGGGCCCATCTTATCAAGCCAGTTAGTTTGATTATAAGTTTATTGAAAATCAGAGTTCTGAATGATTTTTATTTTGAATTTGAATATTTGTTGCTATAAAAATGCTCGGAGATTCCTTCTAATTCCATCGGGATGTATGTCGAATGATAAAGTTTGTTGATGATGTATCATTATATATACAAAACAAAATTTTGTATTTTACTCCATGGTGTTTTCCGACAGCCATGGTGGTTGGCCGGTCATGGTCAGGTCACCATTTGTTCAGGGGGCTCAGGGCTTAGTTTTGGTGAAGTCAATTGGGGTTGGTCATGTGTAAAGGTCTTGGATTAAAGAGGAATGGAGGTGAACCCATTTTTGGATCAATTTGGGTCAAAGCATGGATTTGGGTTGGGCTCACCCACCAAGGCTAGTTTGGGTTGAAGAGGAGATCATTTAGCTCAGCTTAATTATAGAGGAGAGGTCCCTATTAGTGAGGAGAGGTCCCTATCTAAAGGATTTGACTAAGCATGGGTTAGAGTGTATCATTAAAGGGGTTAAAATTTTTTTAAGGGAGCTTGAAAGTGGCTCCTTCTTTTGCCAATAATAGTTTGGTGAGGTGGCAAAGGCTCATGCAGCTCACCTATGGCTTGATGATGGCTTCATGACTTGTCCTTGGCTTGGTTAATTTGCATGAGAAAGGATTTTTGTATTTATGGGCTATTTTTGTAGAGTGTGTCATGAGGCTTCATTTGGAATAATTTTGGCATGAATTGGAAAATTAGAGAATGATCTTGATTAAATGGAAGATAAGGAGAAAAATTGTCATGTGGACTTTGCATTTGGGCTTTGGAAATAGATGTGGTGGGCTTTGGCTTTTAAAATTAGGGGTGAATTTGGGCTAAATTTGGGTCAATTAAATGCTTAATTTGGTTTAGTGAGATGTCCTGAAGAGTTTTGGATATTAATTTGGGGAATTGGTTTGGTCATGGGGTTCAATTTGGGGAGATTTGGTCACATGGTCAAAATTGGGGCTATTTGATTTGGTGAAATTGAGCTTGCAATTGGGTCAAATTGGGCTTGTATTTGGTTTCAATTGGTATTAGGGATGTTTAATTTTGTTTTGGAATTAAAATTGGTCAAGATTGGGGTCAATTTGTTTGACATTGGGGCTAATTTAGGGAAATTGGGTCTTTAAAGGAAATTTGAGGTTTATTGGTCATAATGGATCAGTTTGGTCAAATTGGATCAATGTGATGGTTTAAAATTTAAATTGAGAATATTTGGGATGATTTTGAAATTTTTGGGAATTTTTGGAATTTTTGGGTTGTTAGGGGCATTTTGCTAATTTTTTGCAATTTTGGGGGAATTTTGGGAATTTGGTGATTTTGGTGAATTTGCGTAGTGGGGAAAGGTTTGAAATGACTTTTGGACAAATTTGGGTATTTTGGGTAATTTTGGCATTTTTTTGCAAAAAATGAAGTTATAGGGCTATTTTGGTAATTTGGTGATTTTGAGCTAAGATGGGCAAGTAAGCCGTGAAGCCATGTCAAAGTGAAGCAATGTCAAACCAATAGGATCCATATGAAGAATCATTTTGGATGTTCAATATGCTGGTCCTAACCCTCTTAGCCAAAAGGCTAGGGGTTTGGGTCATCCATATGAGCTTTCCGCCCATATGAGCTTTCCAAACGGAATCAGGAGACCAAATCAAGGGGTCATAGGGTTTGGAGTGTGTGAGAAAGTGTAGTGTGTGTAAGCTAGCCTAACCAAGATCAGTCCACCCATGGTTAGTCTTAAAGTTTGACCATCCTATGGGAAACTCCTATTGAGCTCCTCCATATTGACCCCACCTACTAAGTGTTAGATGTTAGAACCAACATGTGAAACTTCAAGTTGAGCAAAGAAGAGTTTAGAATTTCTAATGGCGAGGGGTCCCTTTCTAGTCCCCTAGGAATAGTCAACAAAAAAGTCCTATGACTAGACCCTATGCTACTAAGGAGGAAACTAGACATCAACCAAAAGTGAGGTCAACAATACATAATACATATGATCATCAAATGTTATAGTAACAAAAATAGTCAATAAAAATGACAAAACAAATAAACTAACAAACCCTACTTATCACCAACAGTGTTTCTCATATTGTAAAACAATTAGCTTCTATCATCCATAAGAACCTTTCAAATATTTTCTTAAAAATGACAATTACATAATATGTTAAATTTAAAAAAAAAATTAATGCATAGTTTATACTTTATTATGCATGAAATCTTTATACAAATATCTAACATGAATACTAAAGAAAACGCGTTGATAAAAAAATAAGGTTTGCATTTTTCATTTTTATAAAATTGAGTATAATTATGTTAACAATTATATTTTCATTTAAACTTTTCTTTTTCATTTCTTTTTCTAGAATCAATCCAGAAATTATGTTAACTAGGGTATACTTAGGTTACAGGATGAATTACAGGGGGTATAACTTAAATGCAACCTAATTATACCCTCTGAATAATCTAACATGTACGCAATCCTGCGTACGCTTTCCGCACACAAATATTTCTCGTGAGATTGAGGGTGTAGATGAAGGAGAGGGGAGTGAGAGTTGTTGGAGAAAGTATCATATCCAGACATTCGCACGTCCGCACAATAAATCATGAGCATCATGTCATCTCCAACTCAAGTGCATGATAAAGTGGCGCTTAGGATTTATCGTGCGGATGTAATAATTTCTCGAGTTCTTGGAGGTTATATTATCTTGCAAGTTGGGCAAAATACAAAGGAGGTTTTTTTGCTTGGGTTGAATCCCATCTTATGACTGAAAAAGATATATTCTATGATTGGTTTCATGCATATATTATTGCATGAAATGATAAGATGAAAATGAAATGTATTTATAATTTGTTTCCTGATTTAATAAGCATTTCATAATTTTATTTTGGGGCACTCTTATTCAGCATGCAAAGCCTTTCTTATTGTTTATAAATAATATGATTACATATATTTATTTAATTTTAAGAGACATAAAACTTTGTGTATGTTGAAAAAGCTTAATGGTAAGAAAGGGTAAAATTTTCATTTTGCACAACACACAAAGCTTGAAAATTATTATTATTATTATTTTGTTTTGATTTTTCTTTCATTTTTCCCCACAACTTTGAATGTTTTTAGGAAATCAGCCTTTCATGCACTAGTGAATTGAAATTATGAAATATAATCCTCCAAAATAAGGGATTAAGATGTGAGAGTTATTTTTGGTTCTTTAATCACATCATCTATGTATTTATATTATTCAAAGCTTTCATTTATTTTGTTTTGATAATATGCAGAGGAGGTTTGATCTAATAACGAACTAAAAAATAGTAATCTTTATAGTCAAATTTAAATTTTGATATTATCTATATGTATAATATATGATTTATTAGATGTATAATTCACAAAGAATTACTTAATAAGAAAACTTTATCAAATAAGTATTTTATCAATTTTTTTATTTTTTGAATAAAATGAGTAGTTATATTGATTAAATTTGGAGTTGAATCTCTCTTCTCATTTAAGAGGTTTAGGAGACCATTACAAATACATAATACACATGTTCATCATCATTGTTATATCTCTTAGCTATAATCTAGAGCTAAGTGTTGAATTTGACAATAATATAAACTATCCACTACTGCTGTAGCAAGCCATCGATATCCATCATCTTGACCGTACATCACCTTTTAACTTCTGAAGAAACCCCTCCATCGCATCAGGAGAAATTTGCATACATAAAACGCGCGCAGCGCTCCCTGCGTCGTCCAATGGCCGCTTGACAAATCATCAATTTCGGTCCCACCGCCTTTATTCAAATGCGACATGTCGACCCGACCCGAGTTATAACCGAGCGGTGCAGGCAGTGTGACCGAGTGGGACATTACCGCGGTACCGCTCTAATAACAAGGTTGTAACCTTCCTGTAACCTCAAGATGAATGAACCACACTTATAATGTCACCGTAACTGAGATCTAACACAACGTCGTGTAACCTAGCAATATAAACGAGCTATAACGGAGCTATAACTAAGCTGTAACCGAGACTTCATACCGCGCATTGTAACCTAGCAGCATAACTGAGTTGTAACCGAGAGAGAAAGTAAAGCGTAACTTTGCGGTGACCACGGGAATGATTGAAACGTTTTCTTAACCTGGCGATAACCTAGGTAGCGAATGTAACCTTCGTTTAACGCGACTAATCAAATACCCGTGGTAAAAAATCTAGGGACAGTAAGAATTCTTATTTTCGTTCGCGCCTAGGGTTTGCATTCCTCGAACGTTACGTTGAGGTATTGGTATTGTTTAGGGTTTTGCTAAAAATGGAGGACAACGGCAAAGCTACGACGTTGTTGGAAGAGAAGAATGTTGCCCATTTTGACGAGACAGAGAAGCCGGACGTCGAGGATGGCAAGAAGCTTGAGGTTGAGCTGCCAAAGCTAATGGCGAAGGGTGTACGTAAGAAGAAGGATTTAGGTGGCTCCAAAATGGGGAAAACGGATGACACCGAATCCATAAATCAACCCAAGGTCGTTTCTAGGTATATTTGAGATTTTGCTTTCGTTAATGTTTAATGGTGAATTTTAATTTCTTGAGGTATATTAAGTCTGAATGATGAATTTTAAAATTGACTTTTAAAAGATTTTAAATTTCTTTCACTATTTTTTACATAGTTTAACATACATTAAAATTAAATGTAGGTTTTGAGCGCGAAATCAATGAACTGCAGATGTCGTCCATCTTGAGTATGAGGAGCTCTGGATAAGGTCCGGCCAACTATCGACGAGCACACGTGGAATAAGTTGGAAACATGAGCTTGGTTCAATTTTTTGAACTCTCTCCATGCCCACAGGATCGTATTCTGACAATGCATATAATTAACTGTTGGAATATTGATCGAACGACGTTTCAGTTGGGTGGGAAAGAGCTGAAATTTGATGCTGACCAAGTTGCCCTCCTAATATGCATGCCAAATAGAGGGTCGCCTGCATCCTGGAATAAAGCTTCGTCCTGTAGTATTGATGTGAGACAAATGAAGACCCAACTTATCAATTTTGACCCAGGACAGTCTTATGACCATTTTATAGAATTATTAATAAAGTTTTTATTGACTAATTTACTATTTCCTTCGAGTAATTTTAGAGTATCCAAGCAGCTATCTTCTCTTTGCGAGGACGTTGAAGCATTCAGCTCATATAATTGGCCCGCAACAGTGTGTGGCTTTTTGATTGATCAATTGAACCTATGTGCTATGAAGCTTAGGACGGATCAACCACTTGGATATATTACTAGCTTTATCTTCCTCTTAACGGTTTGTTCTGACATTATTATTGAAATCTCTTATCATTATTTTTTATTTTGATACCAAATATTTAATTTAACATGCTTCATACAGCTCTGATTTTATGAGCACACATCATTGGTCGTGCCAGCTGTTCCTGAGGCTAGACCACGAATGCTAAGATGACCAGTAAATGTTAAATGAAATGCTTTACAGATTCAACTAGCGTTCAACATGCTCAGCCCTGCCGAGGTTAATTAAATAAATTTCAATAATAATTTGTAACGTAGTCATTTAATACATTAATTGCCCCTGATTGTGTGTTATTTTTTTTGGCAAGTGTATGATTATTTTCTTGAATTAAAGGAAAGTGAACATCACTTACTTGCCAATTCACTTGTAGAGCCCTCCAGTCCAGCAAAATTTCTCTCACAGAGGGAAACCCTTTCAAGACCACAGTCACCAATGCATGTTGAGGTCTCCCATATAGTACCTTATTATATTGGTACTCAACCATCCGACAATCATACATATGAACAATCGAGTCAGAGGATGGGGCAAACACTTGGATTTGAAGAGATGCACGATTTATTGAAATCCCAACAAAAAATTATATTGGATTTTCAAGTATCTGTTGACAGTCGTCTGACCCAGTTAGATAATACAATTTTGGAATTTGAAGACTCTGTTTATAGTCGATTGACAATGTTAGAGAATACGATGACTGACCTAAATTTTCATGTCGTGCGAGTAGAGAAAACAATTAAACAAACAGATGTGGAATTGCAGAGAAGATGGGTTAAAGAATCCCTACAAAGAAGCTTGATCAAAAGGATGAAGGAAAGATTAAATACAAGAACAAAGTCTCTTAGCTCCTTATATGTTGTTTTTGAAAGAAAGAAAAAAAAAGACCCCATTAAGGAATCGGTTGAAAATAAACAAGAAGAGGAAGTGATTGTAGACCAGCGAACCAAATCTCAAGAAGAGGTTGAATCTGTACATAAGGAGGAAAAGGAGCTCCAGCCAGTCAGTCATTATGTTAGTGAGGACTACCCAGACAAGGTATGGAATGTTAGGTTTAATTATTATATGTTGTTCAGTAAATATTATGATTTGATTATCTTACAGATCCAGCCAGCAGCACAAGTAATCAACTTTCCTGCTATGCATGAAATTCTTGATTATATGCGGAAGACAATTGATATATGTTATAGAAAATATACTGACTTGTTAGTTCATCTACTTCTTGTTATTGTCTATCATTAATTTTGTAACTGTTAACTAAAGTCATTTTATATTTCCGATACAGAGGTGACCTATTAATTGATATGGGACATGTTTCAGTGTCGCGACGTTATCTCGATGAATTTTTGGGAAACAGTTGGTTAGGCAATGAGCAGGTTGATTGTTTTGCCATGTTGATGGAGAATAAGAGGTGTAATGCACCACATCTATATAGATTGTACCTATATGTATCGCTATGCCACTGGGTAAGCTTATTAAGTTGTGTAGACAAGATTTATTCCAGCTTCTATCAATCTTACATGACCATATGTTGAATGTTATTATGTTCTTCATGATGTAGTTGTATAGACAAGGTAATGTGAAACCCTTTGTCGAACACATTACAAAGGATGTTATCCAGAATACAGAATTAATACTGATACCTATAATAAATAATCAACATTGAATACTCCTTGTTGGGACACTAAATGAGAGTAAATGGAGAGTTTATGACTCCTTACCCAACCAGATGCATTTGGCCATCACCCAAAGCATTGTAAGTATTAATTATTTACAGATTGAGCATTTCTTAAAGGATATCAGTGAAGCTTTCGAGGATAATTTGATTAAGTGGCCAGTTGTAATGACAAGGGGAATACCGGTGCAAAGTAATAGTTATGATTGTGGTGTTTATGTTTGTAAATATATAGAGACACTTGTTCAAAAAGATAAGGTAAATTGGGCGAAGAAAAAGGATTGGCAGGAATTAATGCATTTATTCGGAGCAGAGATAGTATACGGCATTTGTAAATTTGCTTTGGAGAAATCACAGTAGGTTTGAAAGGTCAACATTTTTTGCAGCTTATTGTGGCTATTGTATTGTTTTAAGAAATTGTTTTTTGTAAAAAAATATTTTTTGTACTGTTGTAAAAAAAATAATTGGATTGATTGTTATATTATATGCAATCACGAGTTCATTGAGCATTGAATTCAATAAAAATCTTTGATGCGAGATTTTTTCTTTCCTTATCAAGATTTGTATATGAACATGCTAGCTATGCTAAGCTAGAAGTTTGTTTGTCAAGACATTATGAACTTTACTCAAAGGCACAACTAGCTCGGCGAGTCCTAGGCTATCAATCAATTTAATCTAATTTAATCGACACTCTAAGACAAGTTTCTACAATGCATATACTGGAGCATCAACCAAGTTCATTGGACTTGACTCGTCCACGTGGTTGAACATCCTATTGTATTTTGGTGAACTTTAAATATCTTTCATGCCGATCAAACCAAGATTTTAAAACTAAGATAATGATACATTTAATTCCAGTCTTGATTGATCAACTTTAGTGAACTTTTTTTGGGTCCGATCAAACCAAGATTTTAAAAATAAATACTGTTTACAAAGATTTGATCATTACAGCTGGAATTATGTATTATTACATCTTTGTGGAATTATGTATTACAACTGGATTATTACAGCTGGATTATTATCCATATCATTACAACTGGATTATTACAGCTGGAATTATGATATAAAGCTAGTTTAAATGTCTTTGCAACACCCGATTTTATGAGCCACCGAAAAAGGCTGGCCAACATTATGAAAAAATGATTTTTATGCAGTTTTTATAGAGAGAATGAAACATTCATATGAACAGAGTTGAGAACAGCAGGAGACAGACGCATAAATGTATACAAATTTCTAGATACATCCTCCTCAAAAAAAAGTACACCAAAATTAATGTCTCAATAAAATTGTCATCGACGCATAATTGTTGCATACATCCTAATTAGAATCTGTATAAAAAAACAAAGGAACATATTTGTTAATAATAATAAATAAAAACATTTCAAATAAAGAATATGTCAAAATACTTACTGATCGTGTATTGAATCTGTCATCATTGCAGTGTATGATTCCCTGTGCCTTGGAGGAAAGAAATTTTGCATTTGGAAGCACCAAAATTATTATAAGATACACAAAACAACAAAAAATAACAAAAGGTTCCTGACCTGTGTTACAAAATCAGGTAATGATGATATGTTTGGATAAGGATTTAAAGCATTGGGTTCTTGACTGCTAGAAACTTCAACTGGTTTACCTATTTAAGTTGTCAGAAAATCAGTCGGAACTTGTTATTGGATAAAACACCCAATAAAAAAAACAAAAATTTTTACCAAGATATACCTTTTGTTCTTTTCTTTCTCTCCCAGTAACCTTTTAGCCTAACATTGGATATTCCTTTGGATTTGGGTCGCATTTTTGGATATTCATTTGGGTCGCATTTTGGCGGGATTAAGAAGATTTGATTGGTTATTCACCTGATTTTTGTTTTTTTAGCTTGTCTCCCTGACTTTGAACCTCGTCCACTTATTATATTATCAATATCCAACAATGATTTTTTCATTGAATCCTTCATGCACTGCTCAGCTTCTTCATTTCCCTTGGTTTTATTAGTGCATAGATATGTCATTTTTTGCATGTGTGTTTCGAATATTAGGCTACCTTTACCATCATTCCACATTTGTGACTGTTGGAAGTGCTTGTATGCATCATTGTTATACACATCTCTCTTTACATTTGCGGACCATCTCAATAGGAGATATTTATCTGAGATTTTCTTAATGTGTAGAAAGTTTAATACTCGTAGAGAGTGAGCACATAATAGCCCTGTTATTTTGAATTTTCTGCAGCTACATTGAACCTCTAAACTTAAAGAATCAAAATTTACCACCCAAGTTCTGTTTGTGGTGTGGTCATCCAAATTATTATTAAAAAAATCATTTTCAATGTTCATAGAGGCGTGTAATTGAAGACCACATGAT